GGAAAAATCGAGAGAGAGAGAGAGAGAGAGAGAGAGTTGCCGGGCAAGATGCCGCGGAACCCGTTCGTTTAATCGGGCGCGCGAACCGCAATTTGCGATAAACCGCACTGCTTCCCTCTCGCGGCCGTTGTCGTGGTCTCGATCAACCACGGATAGACGTAATTTATCGCACGGCCCCGACCGAACAGGTTCGCCGCCGCTAGATCCGAACGCCAGAGACGACTTTCCAACGGCGATTAATTTTCGGTATCGAGCCGTTGAAACTTAACCGAAAAACCGCTTTCGCCTCGAAAGACGATTTTCCGCGAGACCGTTCGATGAATTTCTCGCGGTTTACTCGAAATTATTCCTCGTGAAATCCTTTTGTTATATATCTCGATACATTGTAAAGAAAATTCGTTCAACTCTAATATGATTGTTTCACTCGATAAAAAAACTTCTTAAACTTTTTAATTTCTTCGAGAACAGAAATAATTTCGATTCGATAAAAATAGACCTCGTTCTAACTCGCCACGTTTATAAAAACATTGAAAATAATATTTCTATCTCAACGAGTGTGTAAAAAAACTCGCAGTCCCTCGATCTAATTTGAGATAAGAAAATCCACTTATTCGACGTATTATACGTAAGATCATACGTAACGAGGTTAGGAATCTATTCGAGGCTCTAAAAAAAAATCGATCGGTGAGTCGAGAAGAAGAATGATTCTTCGAGTTTCTAACTACTCGTTCGAATAGTTTCATAGGCGGTGATAAAGTCGCGTAGAGTTGCAAAGATACAGGTGGACGCTATAAGATTCCGTTTGGGATCGCGCGATAAAGCGAGAGAAAAAAAGGGGAGGGGAGGCGAGGGACAGGACCCCCCAGCGTTCAATGAGAGACATTTCTCATCATTTTCCATTCAAACCGTCTGAGTTATTGAGCCCGCCACCCTCGAAGTCCTCTCGAATCCCGCCACAATCGTTCGATTTATTATAACCGCGAGAACCCTAATGAATTTAATTTCATATTTCACGGCCGGTAAGTAGCCAACGGCCAACGTCCGCTTCCTTCCTTTCTTCCCTTTTTTCTTACCTCTCTCTCTCTCTCTCTCTCTTCTCGAAAGAGAGAAGTCGTATCTCGAGACAGGAGGCAGGGTTATATCGTTCGATATTTCTCCACCCTTCTCTCTCTTTCATCTTTCCTCCTAACTCCTTCGCGTATATATATATATATGCAAAGATATATATATATATATATATATAATCTCGGCCTCTAATGTTTCTCCAAAGAAGGGAGCAGCACACCCAACGCGACGCATAAAAAATCGAAGGACCACGGCGGCTTGTATTCTTTATCGTGGCCGGATTTATCGCTAACCGTTGCGAATGGGAGAGGGGGAGGGGTAGAGAGGGCAAGGGTTGGCGAGCGAGACGACCTTTCCTCCTTCCTTCCTCCTCCTCCTCCTCCCCGTTCTCCTCGAAATCCGACTGATTTTTCCGGAAAGAAACGTTAACGAAATAACGAGGAGGAACCTCGAGGTAGCCGAGTTATTAAATTTATATCTCCTTTCTCGAGCCAGACTCGAAAAATCGGGTCGGGTGATTTATCCGTTCCTTTTTCTCTTGCGCTGCTTAACGACGCGGCTACGGAATATGGGCCGTCTCCCTTCCCTTCTTCTCTTCTCCTTCTTCTTCCCTTTTTTTCCTTCGACCACGCGCCGCGATAAATTTCCCCGCTTCTCCCTTCGAGGAGGGTTCTCTTCCCCTCCGAAACCGCGAGAACGAGAGAGAGAGAGAAAGAGAGAGATAGATAGACAGTCTCCTCGAATATCAACAACAACAACAACGATGACCTTCCTTCTTGTTTCTCTNGAGAGAGACTCGTTCTCGCGCACGAACCTTGACGCTAATGGCATGCATTACCGCTAATAATAGTCGGACAAGGAGAGGAATAGCCGGGAACGTAGACGGGTGGATGAGGATACGTGCGACGACGTACACCACTACCATCCTCATCGCCATCACCTTTGGAAAAATTCGAGCGTAATTAGAGAGATAGAGAAGATGTTTCTAGATACGTGAAACGGAAGCGGGTAGATTCGAGTGGATCGTCGCGTTTTTCTTCTCAGTTGGAAATGTGTGTATACGCGGTTGGAGAGATCGCGGTTGGAAGAGAGAGAGAGAGAGAGAGAGAGAGAGAGGATGAAAGACGCGCGAGCCGGCCACGGTCAGTACCGTTACCGGCGTTAAGAGATCGCCGCCGCGGCGATGACCTTTCGCGATGCTTAATGTTACGACTTTGAGCTCGGCCGGCTCACTCGGCACGGCTCACGCCGCGTCCACTTTCTTTTCTCTCGGGAATTAGCGCTACGGCTTCGTCGAATCATCCGTCGGGGACAAATTACACGGGAAATTTATCGTTAAATTTAGCGCTGTGACGAACGCGTTCCCTGAAAAATACAGCGTGTCTTAATAGTCGAACGCGGTTCGCCCCCCCCCCTCTCTCCTCCCTCTTTTTCTTCCACGCAAACAGTATCTCTGAATTATATTCGATAATAACAACTCGAACCTCGACACTTTCCTCCTTCTCCGTCCCTTCCCAACATTTCGAGGTATCATTTCGAGGATCGAAAAAAAGGTATTAAATTCGAAAGAAACGTCTTACCGACGTTTCTTGTTTTGAACGCTTATTTACGTTGTACGAGAAAAAGGGGGGGAAACTGTTAATTGTGGCGGATGGTCGTAAAGAGCGCGCGAAAAGAGAAAAGAAACGTTAGAAAAATAGAGGAGATAGGGGGGAGGGGGGGGATAGGTTGATCGGGAGGCGATCAGCAAGACGGAAGACGGTCGATCGCAGGTGACGCGAAGCAACGTAGCGGAGCAGCAGCAGCTGGCGGTCGAGAAGACGTTTTGGAAAAGTGCACGGTCATCCGATGTAACTGGCCGACCGTGGTGAAAATCGCCACGGTTTTACGACGCGCTCGTAACGCGAGAGGCGCTGCGAGCAATCACGAAAGGAGGAAGCGTAATAGCGGCGGCTAGCTTCAGCGGGCTAATTGCAATAATTGCGTTACGCGTAGTAACGCAGCTCGCGCCAACAACGCGATAACGAGCCCGATTCGCGGCTCGTTGCCGCGGATATCCTTGATCCGAGTCTCGGTCGGAGGAGAATCCATCTCTCGGATAATTTATCGATCGATTTCACCATTTCTGCTAAAGCTTGATTTTTCTTTTCCTCTTCTATCTTTGATCCCATTCCAACCGTTGATTGCCGTTAACCGCGTTTGCGTCGTTCCCACTCGATTTCATTCACTCGGTTCGAAAATTCGATCGGTAATGTAGGGTTCGA